AGAGAGGGAACACAAGCAGGGGGAGTGGGAGAGGGAGAAGCAGGCTTCCCGCTGAGCAGGGAGCCCGATGCGGGGCCCCATCCCAGGACCCTGGGATCATGACCTGAGCCGAAGGCAGACGCTTAACGACTGAGCCACCCAGGTGCCCCGAGAGTTTAACTTATTTATTGCTGCTACTGTGAAATGGCCCCCAATTCCCAAAAGCCTGGTCACAAAATGCCTTAAAGCAGCCTTGTCTCCCCCTGAAGGCCACTGTGGCTCGTACTACTGCTAGCTAGCATTTGCGAGCTGCAATTGTATTTCTATTTGTGTGGTTTGCTGGTCACTCTCCATCTCCCCTACTAGACTGGAAACCCCTCAGATGACAGGCCACTGCTGTTTTGCTCACCACTGAGGTCCTGGTGCCCATCAATGCCTGGCACAGTGTCCAACAAATGAGTGAGCAAACAACATGAATGAGCTGGCCCATCTCTGGGATAAGGGAACCAAGGATGCTAGATACTTGGGGACCCATTCATCAGGGGTGGCTCCCGGCACCACAAAGACATGTGTGGGAAGATTCATCACACTGGGGGACTGTTCCTCTCAGAAAAAGTCTGAAGATAAAGTGTGGGCTCAAAAGGGCCTGTCTCCACTCTCATTTTCCCCATGTTTTTTTCATATAGGTCAGGGGCTTGTTCAACATCCAGATCCTGCCTCCCAGGTAAGCCCCTGTGTGCCTTTTGCTTCTGCCCCACCCCAGGCTGTCCCACTGGGGTCTCCCCCAGGTAGTGATCCTTGGGGGCATCGAGATAGTCTGAGAGAAGAAAGGCCTCCCTGGGGCTAGGCTAGCTGCCTGTCTTTTGTTCACTGTTCCTTCTTCTACGTAGGCCTCTCCATGTGAGCTTCAGGAGGGTTCTCCACCTAAGAGCCCGGGGAGAGCCGAGCCCCGGGAGGAGCAGGACGAAGAGGAAGAGGAAGACCCATGCTCAGATGAGTGGAAGTGGAGGTATGAAGAGGAGCAGAGGAAGGTTTCTCAGTTGGAGCAAGAGCTAGTGCGAAAGACTGAAGAGGCGAAGGCTCAAGCTGCAGCCTACCTGGGCCTGGAGAACCAGATTCGAGAGCAGGCGCGGGAGCTGGGGCTCCTCCTATCTCAAGAGCCTGGAGCTCCGGGAGGGCAGGGCTCTAGGGCCCGGCCCGGGGGAGATGGCATGGAGCAGGGCTGTCCCTTGGGCCTGCTGGCCGAGCGCATTCAAGACCTAAGGAAGCAGCAGTGGGCAGCCAGGCTGGTATCAGCGTCTAAGAAGGCTGGGGATTCAGCCTCAGGGGCGACTCAGCGTGAAAGCCACGGAAGGTTCCAGCCAGAAGACCAAGAGGCGCCCCAGAGCCCAAGGTGGGAGACTGCTGTGAGAGCCACAGGACAGCAGCTGAGCAGCAACGGGGGACAGGCCCCAGGGCCTGAGCATACTGACAAGCCACCAGCCGGTCTGAAAGAGAGGCCCCAGGCGCCAGGGGCGGACCCAACAGGCACAGTGGCAGAGCCCGGGGCAGCCATGACCTGGCTCCTGCTACAACTGAGTGAGGAGCTGGCTGCCGTGTGGCGAGAAAAGGATGCTGCCTGGGGGGCTCTGTCCAGACCCGTCCTGGAGGGGGCTCTGGGGACGCCGCGGGCTGAGGCGGCAGCAGCTGCCTGGGAGAAGATGGAGGCCAGGCTGGAGCAGGTGCTGGTGAGGCTGGATCGGGCAAAGGCAGGATTACAGGCCCCTGCCCAGGAGCCCAGACAGCGAGCCCCAAAGGCAGGCCCAGCGACCATCCCCAAAGAGAATGAAGGGAGGGAGAAGAGGGCTCCTGGGGCCCGCGGAGAGCCTCTGGGGGTCCCTGGAGGGGAACGGATGCCCGGCGGAGGTCTGGCAAAGGGACAGCTGGAGAGGGAGGTCGCAGCCCTGAGACGGAGCAACGGTGACTTGCTGGAGGAGCTGGGGGAGCTGGGGCAGGAGAGGCAGCGGTTGCAGGGGGAGCTGCAGTCCCTGAGCCAGCGGCTGCAGCGGGATTTCGTTCCCAAGCCAGAGGCGCAGGTCCAGCTGCAGCAGCTGCGGCGGAGTGTGGGGCTGCTGACGGATGAACTGGCCATGGAGAAGCAGGCCACCGAGAAGCTGCGGAAGCGCCTGGCCTCCCAGAGCAGTGGCCTCCAAGGGCTGTGGGACTCCCTGCCGCCAGACCTGGTGGGCAAGGCGGGCGCGGGGCGCGCGGCGGCGGAGCGCCTGGAGGAGCTGCAGGCCGGCATCGGCGCCCTGGTGGAGCGGCACCGCGAGGCCGGGAAGGCGCTGGCTCGCCTGGAGGAGGAGAACCAGCAGCTGCGGGGGCCCCCCGCCCCACGCGGGCAGCCGGGCACCTTGTCGGAGGCCCCAGCACCCCTCCAGGTGGCCGCTCTGGAGCAAGACCTGGGGAAGCTGGAGGAAGAGCTGCGGGCCGTCCAGGCCACGATGAGCGGGAAGAGCCAGGAGATCGCGAAGCTGAAGCAGCTGCTCTACCAGGCCACCGAGGAAGTGGCCGAGCTGCGCGCCCGGGAGGCGGCCGGCCTGCGGCAGCACGAGAAAACTCGGGCCTCGCTGGTGGCCCAGGCCCAGGCTTGGGGCCAGGAGCTGAAGGCTCTGCTGGAGAAGTACAACGCGGCGTGCCGGGAGATGGGGGAGCTGCGCGAGGCTGTGGCTGAGGAGCGCCGCCGCAGCGAGGACCTGGCGGCGCGCGCGGCCGAGCAGGAGCGCCAGGCCGCCGAGATGCGCGCGCGCTCCCAGCAGTTTGAGAAGACCGCCGAGCAGTTCAAAGACAAGGTGGACCACCTCATCGCGGCTTGCCGGGACAAGGAGGCCAAGGTGAGCCGGCCAGGCAGCCAGCGGGGAAAGTGTCCGGGCGTTTAGGGCGTTGCTCACCTGCATCGATGTTCGTTTAGTCAGCTTAATACCTTTAACAGAGCAGCAGTCATTGGCGAGGGCCACTGTGTGCAAAGACCATCACCACTCCCCGGTCTCAGGGATTTGCGGTTGAGATCGGAGGTGAGGCTAAGGAGGAAACAGAAGGGAGAAGGGGGCTTAAGTATTACGATTTGGGATTCAGGGTTCAGAAGCAGTGCGGTCCGAGCGAGCTAGCTACTGCCCTGGAGTACTATGGTTTATTAGCACGTTCACTTACAAAGTAGATTAGCACAGGAAGAGGCCTGATAATGTGGTCGGTTGCTGGGGTTTTGCTAGGGTTCTGGGGAGGTAACTGGGCGGGGGGGGGGGGCCTGATGGGGTTAGAAAAGTAGACTAGCCTGTAGCTCCCCTTCTCCCCTCCCACTCCAATCAGAGCGAGTCCTACAGAAGATTTCCATTGGCAAAGAGAACCCCAAAGCAAATAAAAACATGTGGAAACCACTGTGTTAGAAACCTGAGCTTCCCAATGATTGCTCCAGAAGTCCATTTACGAATGAATTTAGTAATTTTAGAACCACCTATAAAACGAATGAAATCAGATGTCTTATTAAAAGTTGTGCACATGGTCAAATGTGGAATGATTTAAAAATATAGAGAGTATATGTTTTGCATAATATAGAGGGCAGGCAAATAGCAGGAATGTTATACAGAATAGCAATCAGTGTGGGATGGGGCTAATTAAAGAAAGGAGGAATTTTGTGTTGGTGTTGAAGGAAAAAATGAGGTAGACAAATGGGCAAAAGAAAATAGTGTAGTCTGACATTGTTTGGATTTGAAATTCAGTTTCAAAACTTACTGCTTGATCTTGGGTGAGTTCTCTAAAGCCTCCAAGTCTCATCTAAGCCTCAGTTTTCTCATCTATAATATGGGGATAATGATAGGTTGGTCAGGAAGATTATGTTAATAAGACATTATATTTAAAATACTCAAATTGATTCTTGGTAAATGGTAAGCACTCAATAAATAAAAGTTAGCTAGTTTTATAATTCCAACTGCCCCCATTCCTATTACTGCTGGTTATCATTAATCAGGTTTGTGCCTCAGCCTCACAAACCACAAAAACAAAACCCATCTCTATTTCTCAGCGGTCAGCAGAGCCACAAGTAGGTCAGGATCCAGTACAGACTTAAGAGCATGGACCATGGGGGCGCCTGGGTGGCTCAGACGGTTAAGTGTCTGCCTTCGGCTCAGGTCATGATCCCAGGGTCCTGGGATCGAGTCCCGCATCGGGCTCCCTGCTAGGCGGGGAGCCTGCTTCTCTCCCTCTGCCTCTCTCTGTCTCTCTCTCTCTCTCTCTCTGACTTTCATGAATAAATAAATAAAAAAAATTAAAAAAAAAAAAAAGAGCATGGACCATGAACTCAAAGAGACCTTGGTTCAGATCATTATTTCATTACTTATTAGCTGCATGATTTTGACAAGTTACTTAACTCAGTCTCCTTATCTACAAAATGTGGATACTAATACTTCCCTCAGTGAAGTATCGTTCTTCTCAGAACAGAAGAAGAGCTGTCTTGAGTATTAATTGAGACAATATGTGTAAAAATATCTCGCATATATTACATATATGTATATATGTATGGCATATATATTACCCACTAAAAGGAAGCTGACCTTGACCCTGGGTGGTATTGGGGTGGGAAAAGCCTTGGGCCTCATCGGTTCCCTTTCTTTCCTTGTGGTGTCAGATCAAGGAATTGTTGAAGAAGCTGGAGCAACTTTCAGCGGAGGTCTTAGCAGTTCGGGGAGAAAATGCTCGCCTTGCCCTGCAGCTGCAGGTACGTTCTGGCCCTCGGGGAAATAGACACGGCTAGAGAAGAGGGTGGCCAATGGAAGTGATGTATGTGTGGGAAAGATTCTGGGAATTGTAGAGGCCTGGCCAGGCAGTGGTCCAGGCTGGGCCAGAGGTGGGCCAAGGGAGCCCACATGGCATAGCTGACCACTTCATTCTTCTTTTTTTTTTTTTAATTTTTATTTAAATTCAATTTAGTTAACATATAGTGTATTATTAGTTTCAGGAGTAGAATTTAGTGATTCATCAGTTGCATAGAACACCCAGTGCTCATTCCATCAAGTGCCCTCCTTAATGCCCATCACCCAGTTATCCCATCCCCCCAGCCCCCTCCCCTCCAGCAACCCTCAGTTTGTTTCCTATAGTTAAGGGTCTCTTATGTTTTGCCTCCCTCTCTGTATTTATCTTATTTTTCCTTCCCTTCCCCTATGTTCATCTGTTTTGTTTCTTAAATTCCACATATGAGTGAAATCATATGGTATTTATCTTTCTCTGACTGACTTATTTTGATTAATATAATACCCTCTAGTTCCATCCACATTGTCACAAATGGCAATATTTCATTCTTTTTTTTTTTTAATTTTTTTTTTTTAAGATTTTATTTATTAGCGAGAGAGAGAATGAGAGACAGCATGAGAGGGAGGAGGGTCAGAGGGAGAAGCAGACTCCCCGCTGAGCAGGGAGCCCGATGTGGGACTCGATCCCGGGACTCCGGGATCATGACCTGAGCCGAAGGCAGTTGCTTAACCAACTGAGCCACCCAGGCGCCCAATATTTCATTCTTTTTGATGGCGGAGTAATATTCCGTTTTATATATGTATATACCACATCTTTATCCATTCATCTGTAGATGGATGGACATCTGGGCTCTTTCCATAGTTTGGCTATTGTGGACATTGCTGCTATAAACATTGGGGTGCAGGTGGCTCTTTGAATCACTATGTTTGTATCCTTTGGATAAATACCTAGTAGTGCGATTGCTGTGTCCTAGGGTGGTTCTGTTTGAACTTTTCCAGGGACCTCCATACTGTTTTCCAGAGTGTCTGCACCAGTTTGCATCCCCACCAACAGCTGACCACTTCATTCTATTGTTCCTCATGCTGCGGGGGGTGGGGGGGGTGTCAGGGTAGGTGTGTTAGGGTGGGTACATGATCTCTCATTGATGCTCGCTCCCAGGATTCCCAAAAGAACCACGAAGAGATCATCTCCACCTATAGGAACCATCTGCTGAATGCTGCTCAGGTGAGCACGGAAGGAGGTAGAGACAGTGCACTGGGCGGGGGATGTTGCGTTTGGGATCCCTCCTCTTACCTGAATATACCTGTCATTTCATGGAAACCTGAACTTTAGATGTTCCAATGCCAGGTCTCTGGATCTCATTCAATAGATCAATGAATGTGAGGGGGGAGAGGTGTTTGCCCCTCCTTGTCAATTCCCTGGTCCACTGGAAGGCCTTTTCCTGTCCCTTATGCCTTTACTGTTTCATCCTGAGCCAAATTATCCCTCACCAAGGAAGAAGAGATGGGTGGCTTGCTCCTTTATTAGGAAGAATGTTAACTACAAAGAATCAAACACTTGTTGTCTATCAGGTGCTCTGCTTCATATTCATTGTTTTTTTAACCCTCACAGCAGTCCCGGCAAGTAGACATCATTATCTTCCTTGTAAAGACTAGGAGACAGCCGTAGAGAAGTCATACACCATAAACCAAGGCACAGAGGAAATAGCATTCCACTAAACCACAGAAGGTTCCCTTGCCTTCTCTCCTCATTTCCTGTTCTTCATCTCCCTTTCTTTCCTTCCTCCCACTTACAGGGCTACATGGAACAAGATGTGTACAATATCTTGCTGCGCATCCTCAGCATCCAGGCGGAGTGAGGCAGCTGGTGCCCTGAGGGACGTGCGAGTTCTCTGTGGTGAGTTGTGGGTCAAGGTGATGAGGGAAGGAGCCTGGAGAAAGGTCTTGGGAAAATAGGCTTAGGGACGGGACTTGGAGCCTCCTTTTGCCCCATGCGGTGGGGGCTGACCCTGGAGAGCCCTGTGGGGCGTGAAGCATTTGAAGGGAGGTCGGTTGAGAAGACACAGTCTGGGGATTCCCTGGGTGGAGGCAGGAATCAGGGAGCAGGCAGACTGAAGGGGGCTGACGTGGGATGATGGGGACTGAAAAGACTTGCTGAGCGGCTCTCCTAAGGCCCAGGCTAGAGGCAGCCATGGTGGCAGAGTGGTAAGAAGTTGTTTGCCAGGGTGGGACTCTATGAAGCCCAGACTCTCTCCTTCATTCTCCTACCATTCATTCAGAGGATAGTCACTCCCGGCTCTTCTTGCTGCCCCTGTGCACGTGGCTGTCTTTTTCTGTCCAGCTGGATGACATCCCCTTTTGTGGCTTGGCATGGGCGGGAGGACGCCGAGGAGATGGAAGTGTGTGCATTTCACCCTTAAATTTCTTCTTTCAGGGAGTAAGAGCGTCCCTGGTTGCCAGAGACTCCACCAGGCTGTGGAGGAGGGCGGGGCTGGGGGGGGGCAGGTGGTGGGGATGGGGGCGTGGGGTTTCACCTGACATTATGGACCCCAGACCTGAGAACCTGAAGCCTGGAATCAGCACTGATGAGACCAGAGGAGGTGCACATGGAGGCCAGCTCTATGGAAAATAAAGCAGGAGACAGTGTGGTGTTGGGTGTCATGGTTTTCTCTGCTTAAAGGGGAGGGAGGGAAAGAATCTTTTTCATTCTCATTCCTTTTTGATCACAAATGGCCCCAAAAGTCAGCAGCTTTCAAACTTTATGATCCACAGTAAGAAATACACTTTATATCGTAGTGCATATACCTGAAATGATATTTACCCTTACTATTTTCATTCGATGATATTCTCTGCTGTTTTACTCCACTGAAAAAATATCGCTCACAATACACCCACTAATGGGCCAAGACCCACGTTTGAAAAACAGCTCTCTATGAAAATGGAGATTGACACTCTGTCTCTTTCTCAAATCTGTCTCTAATCTTTTTTCTCTATCTTGCGATTCCTGCGTCCACAATCTTTTTTAAGGAAGAGAAATTGAGAGGCCTGGATTTCCTTCAAGCTGTACAATCTAAAATATTTGATCGTATGTCAAACCATGCATCTAGATCTGAGGCACAAGGGCTCACATGGTCCGTGTTCTTTGCCCAGGTACAAAGTGGGGTGAAAAGTCGGATTCCTGGGAAAGGGAGGAAAGGATACTCAGACGGCTTCCTGTCTCCAGTTCTGTTAGACTGAAAAAAATGTATCTCTCTTGGCCACTTCCCATGGGTCTCCTCCCCTTCCTGTCCCTCTACCAGCCAGACTGCTAGGTGAGAGAGAGGAAGCGAATTCCTCCCCAGTCTGGAACTGCAGTTTGGATCCCTCCTGGTTCCTTCTCCCAGCCCGCCCCCTGCTGGGTTTTGCTGGGTCGGCCACGGTTTGGCGGTAAAGAGCCAGACTGGGTTGAGAGGAGAGTGGGGAGGGGCTGCCGCAGAAGACAGGGGGCCACCCCAGGGCTGCAGGGGGGTTTGGCCCAGAAGAGAGCAGCTGTGTAGATCACGTCCTAGAGAAGACGAGGGTCAGCTTTGGGATTTGTGTGGACAGGCCTAAGACTGCTTTAAGGCAGGAAGAATGGAGACCGGAGGGGTTGATGGCGAAAGAGAGGGTACAGCTGCCAGAGGAAGGGCATCAGAAAGATCCAAGTCATTTCCATGAAGGGGAAGAGAACCTCTCTTTTCCTTCTGGTTCTTCGAGTTACCAAAGAATATAGAAGGACTGTTGCAATCCTTATTATTTATGGAGTGTGGGGTGGGAAGAATGAAAAAACTGCTGAGAGAGAGGGGTCCACACAGGGGGAGATTGTTTGGCTAAGTTCAAGTGTGCGTCAGGAGGCAGCTCTGGTAGTGGAAGCTGATCCCAGGATGGCTGAGCTACGGGAATGCTCAGTGATGTGAATGCTAACACAGGATGGAACGTTACCCAGCCCCTGGTCTTTCCAAACAGTCTCCCTCTATACAACCCCATAAACGCTTACCCCAACAACCCCAAGCCCTGAAATTTTCCTCAATTTCATAAATCTTTATTTCCTAAAGTAACTCTGGTCCTACTCTTCTCCCTATTCCTCCTAGGCTGTCCGTCTAATGGGACTTAGGTAGGGATTCCCTACTCATGTTTCTCTCCCCTCTTGTTCTTCAGGCTTCAGCTGTAGGAGTATATGGGTGACAGTAAGTGAAGCTTGGTCACCACGATGGGGTCAGACTATGTCTTTGAATGCCTTCAATCAGAACTTGGTCTTGATTTGTAGTTTCCCTCCTTCGTCTGATAATATTAATTCATTAAACTGATATTGAACGAGTCTACTATGGGCCAGGCACTGGGGATAGAGAGTGAGCATCACAGAAAAGATTCTTGTCCTTGCTGAGCTGGGATACAGGATCAAATTCAGGCACGCTGCCTCCTACTTTTCAGTTATCCTGTAGGGATGCTGGAACTTACAACCTCAAATTAACTATTAAAGGAGATCTCTCCTTTATGAAACCACTAGGATTCAAGGTGAGGTTGACTTTCTTTTCTTCTTTTACATTTTTACAGCTTTAATGAGTTATAATAATTGACATTCAATAAACTGCATGTACTTTGATAAGTTTTGACATATGTATATACCCATAAAACCATCACACAAGATAATGAACATGTCTATCACTCCCAGAGTATCCCCCCTTCTTTTTTTTTTTAAATCCTCTCTATCCTCCTTCCATCCAAATCACTGAAAATTCTAGAAGATACAAACTAATCCATAGTAACTTTTGACCCAGAGGGCTGAACAGAACAAAAAAATGAGCTCGGGGCCTGATGAAGACTCAAGCGTTGGTGGGGGCAGTTGGGATTTAGAACCAAATACTTGAGCTTGAGTTTAGCTTGAGGTCCCACCATTGCTGGCAGGAAAGCATCAGGGAAAGAACCTGAGTGTCAGGAGAGGTGCACATCTTCCCCAGGGACACAATCCACAAAGTAGTTGGGCATGGTCCAAGTCAGCAGGTATGTGGGGATAATGCCAGGCTGGTACCTTCATTCTTGTGGCTTGGATGGGGTCTCTTGGGAAGGATTATACTGAAGGTTTAAGCTAAATGAGAGGGTTATTCATACTATTTATTATTAATTATTCTTATGCCAATTATAGGTTTAACTGTCTTGCTGCCACTGCTAGACTGAGAGCTCCTGCAAGGCTTTTTATGTCCTCAGCACCTAACAATCTCTGAACAGCATTCAAATGTTTGTTGAACAAATGACATTATTGCTTAAGTCCCAGCCAACTAACTATAAAATGCTATGAGTTTTTCCAGTATGTAGTTTGGGTAAACTAAAATTGGTGCTTTCATGGTACCTGCATGTGAGTGATTAGCTTGGTTGAGAATGGGGTTTCTGGAAGGTCAAAGGCTTTGGAAGAAGAGTAGGCAGTTCAGAGAGGGGCAGAAAGATGACTCTTGGAGGTAAGAAAACCTCTCCTCCGTCCACCTTCAGCTACACCAAAGGCGTGCGGTCTCTGGTGATGGTCTATTTGGGGTAGGGGGTGAGGGACCACGGGTAGAGTTGGGGCTTAGGTACACTTTGGATTCTAGCAGCCCAGGCTTTCCCCCAGGGAGAAGAGTCTCATTCCAAGTAGGAACTTCTTTATGCAGGCAGATGCCTGTCCATCCGGCCTTATTTGCAGCATGACTCCACCCCAGGCCGATACACCAGCTCAAGGGGTCAGAGCAAGAGCGAGAATGATGAGATCCAAGAACGTCCTCCCTTCTGACCCGCTCACTCGAGGAGTTAATCGCTCAGCGCCGGGCTCCGAGTCCCTCCCTCTCGCGCCTCAGACTCCGCCCCCTCCCTCAGTGGCGGCGGTCCTGGCGGGCTCACCCCGGAGGGGGCGGCCCCGGCCCCAGCGCGGGGCCGGGCGGAGCTCCCGTCCGGGCGGAGCTGCGGCTGCAGCGTCCAGCTGCCGGACCGACCTCCAGCCTTGTAGACGGCGGGAGCGGCGCCGGCCCCCTCCCCCCACCTCCCCAGCCCACCCTCCGAGCCTCCCGAGCCCCTTCCCCGCTCCCTGCAACCGTGCTGGTAAGTCCCGCTCATCGCACCAAACTTTTTTGCTGCCGAGTTTGAGTCCTACCGCGGGACCACGAGCAACACTATAGTTGGTTGGTGGGGGGTGGCGGGTGGGGATGGGGGGCGAAGGATTGAGAATAGCCGTCTTGAAATGAACTATTCACAACTCCATAGCTTCTCTGAAATGGATCAGATCTCACCCATTTCCCGAGTTGGTAGAACTCTTGACTTTAGCTGGTTAAACTTGTAGAGGAGATGACTGTATTCGCTCCAACTTCGCCACCCCTCCCCCATTTCTCTTAGATTTAGCAGTTCTCGATACTTTCCCTCCATATTTCAAGTATCTTTGGCTCCCTAAAAGCTCATCCCCTCCCAGCTCTGGCGTGGCAAAGCCCCCTCCCCCAGGCACTTCGGGTCCGCCTCCTCTTCATTACCCCCGGGAACCCCGCGATCTTTCGGGCTACACTCCCTCCGGTCTTGCACCCGGGCCAAAGACGTGCAGGGGCCGGGTCCGGCGGTCGAGGGAGGGGCTGAGGCTGGGGCCTGTCCGGAGCCCGGCGGGCGGGGCCGGGAAGGGGAGGTGTAGGGGGCCGGACGGGGCGGAGCAGGCGGCATTTGCGGCCGGCGCTGGGGTGGAGAGTTGTGCGCCGGTCCCTGGGCCTGAGCTCGGGCTCGGGCTCGGGCGCCTGCGATGTCTCAAGATGGCGGAGCTGGGCGAATTAAAGGTACCGGCCCCCTCCCCCATCCCCATCTGGACTGAGCCCGGCGGTACGCCGAGTCAGGGAAGCGACCGAGACTGGGTGCTGAGGGCTCGGGTGGGGGCTGGAGACGTGGCGGAGACTGGCTGCTGGGGGTGGGAGCGAAGTGGCTGTGGGCGAGGACCGGGCTGCGGCCGGGCTCCGGGGGCGGGGCCGCGGGGCAGATGTAGGGGTGGGGCCGAGGGGAATTGCAGCTGTTGGGGGCCGAGGCGCAGGGGGCGGGGACGCAGGGGTAGAAGTCGGATTTGGTAGTTGGGGCAGATGTAGGAGGAGGACCAGGGGTAAAAGCTGCTACAGAGGCGTAGGGGGCGAATTGATCGAGGCCAAGAGATGCGACAGTAGGGGGCAGATGTGGGGATGGGACTGGGGGGCAGATGTATGGGAGGCTCCTGGGGAGATGCAGCAGAGAGGATGGAAGCTTTGGGGCTGCTGTTGGGACCCGAGCCTTGGGAAGTACCAGTAGGCGGCTGAGATCTAGGGGGCGGGGCTGTGCGGGCGGTTGGATCGAGGGGTGGGGCAGAAGCATCCAGGAGGCTCAGAGGAAGGCGCTGCCTTAGTGAGCCCGTGTCTTTGGGCAGAGACAGAGGAGTGTGAAACTATGGGATGGGAAGGGGGAGGTTCTTGACAAAGCTAATGGAGAAATAAAAACAGGACAGAGGAAATAAGGGTGGGAGAAAGATAGAAGAACAAGTTTTTCATCACATTCCTCAAAAGGGGCCCAAAGCCATAAAGCCTTCTGGGAGGGGGCGAATTGTGGAGGGCTAGCAAGGCCTGCCCATGACAGGGTCTCCCAGAGATTCACAGAAGGGTGTCCTTTTAGGAGAGAGCTTTTGGTGCCCTCCTACTGCCACACAGTCTTCAGGGTAACCGTATCCGAGGACATCTCACAGAACCTTAAAAAACCACTGGGTTCATCCCCCTGCCTCCTGGCTTTGTTCTGCCTTTTGAAATGGAGCCATAGTCCTTGGCGGGCTTGAGGTCTAGTCACTGGGCCCAGCTGCCTTTAGGAGAACTTGCAGTTCTGCACCCTGGCTCAGGGGCCCCACGCCTTCTCCTCATCCTCCCAGGGCCTCTGCTTAGAGCTTTGCCCTCTCCTCTTTCACCGCTATGGAGGGGGAGGATCACTCATTTCCCTATGTAGGGGAGAAACAGGATATTAGTTCCTGGCAGATGGAGTAAACAGATAAACAAGAAGGTAACCTGGACTCGGTGATTTACTATTAACCCCTTTGCACCGTTTTGGTCGTTTTTGCCTTCCAGAAAAATAGGACCGAGGGAGGGGTGTTTATGTAAATGATGCTTAGAAAGGATTTGGGGGAGTTACAAGCATTGAACCCTGACCTGAAAACCCTGGCCACAAACACTACAGAGGCTTGGGGAAAATAGCTGAGGTGGCTTGAAGTGTTGGGAGGGGTGTGCCTCGGGCACAATCCTTCAGCCACCTGCCCCCTTTCTTCCCCCTTGGGGCTGTCTGGCCTGAATCCTCTTCTCCCCCTCCTTCTCCCTGTCTCCTAGCCTCTTCCCAGGAGGCTGGGATGGGTCTGAGAGTCTGAGAAAGAGCAGGAGAGGAGATAAGCAGCTTAAAGGAGCGTCTAGGCTCAAGGCAGGGATGGAGGTAGGAGGCCGAAGTGGACTCATCAGTGTGCCTGTGGATGGCTTGCTGTCTGCACGCTGCCCCACCTGGCCGACTTACAGGCATGGGGAAATAGGGTTACTCAAGCTCTGGGGGCTAGTGGTAAGGTTGACCTGAGGGTTGCTGAATGGGCCTGAGATGTCCCTTTGGCTAGATTGGCTGTCTGGCAGTCATCCACTGGCTGCAGAGCATCTTTCTGATGAGTGCTGGGTAGGGGGGAGGGGCATTGGCTACTTGGTAGCTCAGCCCCAGCACCCTTGGCAGTATTCTCGAGTGTCTCTCTTCTCCGCAGCACATGGTGATGAGCTTCCGGGTGTCTGAGCTTCAGGTGCTGCTCGGCTTTGCTGGCCGGAACAAGAGTGGACGGAAGCACGAGCTCCTGGCCAAGGCCCTGCACCTCCTCAAGTCCAGCTGTGCCCCCAGTGTCCAGATGAAGATCAAGGAGCTTTACCGCCGGCGCTTTCCCCGGAAGACCCTGGGGCCCTCTGATCTCTCCCTGCTCTCTCTGCCCCCTGGCACCCCTCCTGTCGGCTCCCCTGGTCCTCTGGCTCCCATTCCCCCAGCCCTCTTGGCCCCTGGCACCCTGCTGGGCCCCAAGCGTGAAGTGGACATGCACCCCCCTCTGCCCCAGCCCGTGCACCCTGATGTCACCATGAAACCATTGCCCTTCTATGAAGTCTATGGGGAGCTCATCCGGCCCACCACCCTCGGTACGGCTCCGTCTTCCTCAGTCTTCCTGATCCATACCTCTTGCCCAAGCCTTTCTTTAGGCTTTAGTCCTGTGGGATCAGCAGCCTGGGATGGGGGCAGCGTCTGTGGCTGCCTGTCATGGGCTCAGGAATAACTGCCCCTTTGTGTCCTCAGCGTCCACTTCTAGCCAGCGTTTTGAAGAGGCGCACTTTACCTTTGCCCTCACACCCCAGCAAGTGCAGCAGATTCTCACATCCAGGTACATCTCTCCCAGCCCTCGCACCTCATCTTGGGATGGTTACCCCTGGACTCTGCTCTCTGACTTTCTTCTCTTCTGTCCTGCTCTCCTGCCTGTCCATCTTCCTGCACCTGCTTTGTCTCATTGTCTTGTGCGTCCCTGACTGTTCAGCCCTGCCCTCTGGGGGCCACATCCTGACATGCTTCCCTCTCCTTCCCTGTCACAGAGAGGTTCTACCAGGAGCCAAATGTGACTATACTATACAAGTGCAGCTAAGGTGAGTCGATCCTCCTCCTCCTTCCCGGCTGGGCTCCTGTTGGGGGTGGGGACGAAATCAGGGTATGACGGACACGGCTAGGAGATAGCCCTGCTCTGCCCCGTCCACCCCAACCCTGGGGCTCTCGTTGGCTGCTGAGGGTTACAGCTGCAGACATCTGTGATGGACTGAGATGCCCTGCCTTTCTGCCAGCTTCAGCTCAAGAGACTACCTTCCCCACCCTTTCATCTTTTCTCCTCTCTTACTAGGTTCTGTCTCTGTGAGACCAGCTGCCCCCAGGAGGATTATTTTCCCCCCAACCTCTTCGTCAAGGTCAATGGGAAACTATGCCCCCTGCCGGTAAATGCTCTTCCCTTTTTCTGGCAGTGACCCCTTTCCTCTTTCAGTTCTTAAATGTTAAATACAAACCTATTATGAAAGAGACATGCCTAGCACAGTGCCTGGGTACAGAGTAGGTACTCAGTTTACTGAGGGATTAGTACAACCTAGAGAATACTAAGATGGGGCTGATGCACAAGGGTTCTGTCAGAACCCAGAGGAGGGACATTAGTTCAACCCAAAGGTTCAGGGAAGACTTCTCTGAAGTGATGACCTCAGAGCTGAGAGTTGGAAGAAGTGGGGCATCCCTATTCTTCCTCCTCAGGAACCCAGGGAGTAGGTTTTTATTTCCCTGGTCAACGAATAAGCTGTCCTTTGTCCCCAGGAATGTACCCCACATACAACCCTAGGTAATGCTTTAGTTTTGTGAGTCACTGAATGGGGCCCCCCCATGTCCTTGGTCAGTGAGTGAGCTGGTCTTCCCTCCAGCAAGTGAGTAACCTGAGACAAGATGTCTTGACCATTCCCTCCCTTCCCCAGGGTTACCTTCCCCCTACCAAGAATGGGGCTGAGCCCAAGAGGCCTAGCCGCCCCATCAACATCACACCTCTAGCTCGTCTCTCGGCCACTGTTCCCAACACCATCGTGGTCAACTGGTCATCTGAGTTTGGACGGGTGAGCAGGGCTGGGGCAGGGAACCTAGAGAAGCCTGCAGGGTGTGAGGGGGCATCATCCCGTGTCCTGGGTTGGGGAAACATCTTCCTCTTTATGGGTCTTTCTGCCTTAACCTGTTGTCTGTGGTCCTCATGGGACAAAGGGTTGGGGTGGTGATGTGCAGGGCAGAGGCTAACTGCCTCCCCCTCCCTCCAAGTAGAACTACTCCTTGTCTGTGTACCTGGTGAGACAGTTGACTGCAGGGACCCTTCTACAAAAACTCAGAGCAAAGGGTATCCGGAACCCAGACCACTCTCGGGCACTGAGTGAGTAACATCCTGCCCCCCTTTCCCACTCTGATTTGGATCCAAATCTTCCTGGTCCTCAAGCCGTTATAATCAAACCCATCCCCATCTCATGACAGTATACCTCATGTCACACATGGACTCCAACCCTCCCCCTATCCCCGTACCAGTCTTCATGGTTGAGAAGTCAGCCCCTTCCCAGGCACTGAGTGACACCCTTGCATTCTCAATTATACATCTGCTTTGCGCCTCACAGACCCTGCCTCCAGCCCTGCTGGAGTATGGCTTCTTTAGACTGGAAAGAGTCTTTTTTTTTTTAAGATTTTATTTATTTATTTGACAGAGAGAGCGAGAGAGCACAAGCAGGGAGAACAGTAGAGGGAGAGGGAGAAGCAGGCTCCCCGCCAAGCAGGGAGCCCGATGTGGGGCTCGATCCCAGGACCCTGAGATCATGACCTGAGCCGAAGGCAGACGCTTAACCATCTGAGCCACCCAGGCACCCCTGGAAAGAGTCTTAAGGATCATCTAATCTAACCCTCTTGTGATGCTTCAGTTCCCTCTAAGTCATCTCTGCCAAAATGTCACCCAGCTGTATTTAAGTATCTTCAGGGATGGGGAAATCTCTCCCTCACACCCAGTCTTCATGTGATATCCCACTGGCCCCCAAAGACCATCCTCAACGTGACATCCCACTGGCCCCCAACGGCACTCTGCCCAGCTGCCTCTCAGCCAGAGCCGTCTGCTTCTGGCCTCACCGCCTCCTGGGCTTCATCTCCAAATTTGCTGACCCCATGGCTCTGGCCTCATTCTTGTTTCAGTCAAGGAGAAATTGACCGCTGACCCGGACAGTGAGGTGGCCACTACAAGTCTCCGGGTGTCACTCATGTGCCCGGTGGGTACAGGGGAGATGAGAAGGGGGAGGAGGGTTGGGTTAAACTCTGGACCCAGATGAGGGCTCCTAGGGCTACCAGAGTGAGGCTTCCTGGGATATAGGGACTCTGACCAGAGAACTCGTCTCTTCTCAGCTAGGGAAGATGCGCCTGACAGTCCCTTGTCGTGCCCTCACCTGTGCCCACCTGCAGAGCTTCGATGCTGCCCTTTATCTACAGATGAATGAGAAGAAGCCAACATGGACATGTCCTGTGTGTGACAAGAAGGCTCCCTATGAATCTCTTATCATTGATGGGTAGGGCCACTCTGCATTCTGCTTCCTCTTACCTAGGACATCCACTAGGGACACCCCCCCTTCTGTATATTGAGAGACCTTCCTTGCCCTCCCAGGAACCCCAATTCTTAACCTATCAATCCCTTTATATGTATATGTATATATATAATTTTTCACCTTTATAATATACAGTTGACCCTTGAACAATATGGGTCCACTTATACACAGATTTTTTTCAATACAGTACAGTAAATATAAATGTATTTTCTCTTCTTTATGATTTTTCTAATATTTTTCTTTTGTCTAGCTTACTGTATTATCAGAATACAGTATATAATACATATACAAAATATGTGTTAATTGACTGTTGATGTTATTGGTAAGGCTTCTTCTGGTCAACAGTAGGCTATTGTTAGTTAAGTTTTGGGGGAAGTCAAAAGTTATCCATGGATTTTTTTTTTTAAACAGTAAAGACTTTTTAAAAAAAAGATTTATTTATTTACTTTAGAGAAAGAGGGAGAGAGTGTGGGGTGGGGGGGTGAGGGGCAGAGGGAGAGGGAGAGGACATTAAGCAGGCTCTATGCCCAGAGTGGAGCCTGACATGGGGCTCGATCCAGACCAGAGCCGAAACCAAGAATCGGATGCTCCAACTGACTGCGCCACCCAGGCGCCTCATCCATGGATTTTTGGTTGTGTGAGGTGCTCTTAACCGTCATGTTGTTCACGGTCAATTGTATATATTTCCAACATTGAGGATTTACTGCATTAGGTATCATGCTGCACACTTTGCATGCCTCATCTCACTGAATCCTCATAATTAACCTTGTGAGATGGGTATGGTCATTACAGGTGAGGAAGCTGAGACCTAGAGAGATGATCTTGCTCAAAGTTGTAATTGTTAGTAAGTGGCAGAATCAATGTATTGAACTGATACAATGTATCTCCTAGAACAACTACCTGACCTCTCACTGACCATGGTAAGGAAAAGTTCTTCTGAGGGTCTGGATGTACTGATCTAGCTAGTCCTAACCCCCATCCGGAGCCTAAATTACGGTCCCCGTTCCCAGTGCCCTCTTTGAGATGGTTTATGGAGTTCTGTATCTGTGTTCCTTTTGTTTTGTCACAAGTACTATATGAAACGTGCTTAGAATGTATTTTTTGGAAAACTTAGCATTTAAAGTTGGCAAATCTCTTTTATATTACCTTACTTTATTTGATTCCGACAACTCAAGAGAGTTGAGTAGAGTGAATAATGTCCCTATTTTACAGACGAGGAAACAGGTTCAGAGAGGTGAGTCCCAGAACTCCCCGGCTACTGTTTCCAGCCATCTCCCAGCCCCATGAATTCCCATCTCTCCCCTTCCCCCAGCTTGTTCATGGAGATACTTAATTCCTGTTCGGATTGTGATGAGATCCAGTTCATGGAAGATGGATCCTGGTGCCCAATGAAACCCAAGAAGGAGGCATCTGAGGTTTGCCCCCCGCCAGGGTATGGGCTGGATGGTGAGTGACTCCCCGTCCCCGAGCTGAACTACATCTCAGATGACCTCATCTCTGAGACACAGTCCTCTTACCACCCGCAGGCCTCCAGTACAGCCCAGTCCAAGAGGGCAATCCATCAGAGAATAAGAAGAAGGTTGAAGTTATTGACTTGACAATAGAGAGTTCATCGGATGAGGAGGACCTGCCCCCGACCAAAAAGCACTGTCCTGTCACCTCAGCTGCCATCCCGGCTCTACCTGGAAGCAAAGGGTATGAGGAAATAGGCTGAGTCCACGCCAGAAGGGGCAGAGGAAGAAGTCAGGAATGCTCTCAGTTCACTGGACAAACCCTGGGGCAGAGAGGGGGCTCAGGAGGCTGAGCTGGGTGAGGGCATCTGTCGTTCGCTGGCTGCCCCAGTTCCTCCTCTCTCCTCACAGAGTCCTGACATCTGGTCACCAGCCATCTTCGGTGCTGCGGAGCCCTGCTATGGGCACGCTGGGCGGGGATTTCCTGTCCAGTCTCCCGCTACATGAGTATCCACCTGCTTTCCCACTGGGGGCCGATATCCAAGGTAGGACACTGATCACACGGTGGGCTGTTCGCTGCCACAGCTGCCCCCAAACCAGATCAGAACCCCTGTTCCTTTTCAAAGCCTTCTGGCTCTCTTGCAAAGGCTACAATCCAAGGGACTTTAGGTTTTTTTGGCCATGAAGGGTTCAGACAGGAGATTGATTCTGATTTTTCTTTTCTTACCAGGTTTAGATTTATTTTCTTTCCTCCAGACTGACAGTCAGGTAAGTGGTTCCTTCTCCCATGAAGCTATCAGATCCCTGAAGCTTCCTTTCTAGGCACCGATGCCCCCCGCCCCTTTTTCCTCTAAGACCTAAATCTGCTTCTCTGTGAGGGAAGGCAGGGGCTGGGGGATAGAGGGGGTATGGGCAGTTTATTTCCCTACTAGACCCTACTGGTGCTTCTTCAGATTCTCACCCATGTCTACTTTGATACCCTGTTACTGTTCTGTTTCGAGTTTTTAGAATTCTGCCCTGACTGCTCTCCACTTAGGCCCCCCACCCCCCACACACACCCATGTGCACTTGAGCACTGTGCCTGCCCCAGCCAGACATTCCATGCATTTCAGACGCCCACAAGGCCAAGAACCTAGCAAGCTGGAGGGACTGTCTCAAGGCAGCGGATAGGGGTGGGGTGGGGTAGGGGTGGGGTGGGGAAGTAGGGGAAAAAAAGAGTCTCCCCTGCTTCTCAGAGGGTATCTGGGGATCCAGAGGGTTTGATTTATCCCAGGATATTTCTGAGATGAGTGACTGGGAAGTGGGTGAAGTCAGGAGAAAATCTTAAACTGTGCCCTTGATTCCTCCCAGCACTATGGTCCCTCCGTCATCACCTCGATAGATGAACAGGATGCCCTTGGCCACTTCTTCCAGTACCGAGGGACCCCTTCCCACTTCCTGGGCCCACTAGCCCCCACATTGGGGAGCTCTCACCGCAGCACCACTCCAGCACCCCCTCCTGGCCGCGTCAGTAGCATTGTGGCCCCAGGGGGGGCCTTGAGGGAGGGGCCTGGAGGACCCCTGTCCTCAGGTCCCTCTTTGACTGGCTGCCGATCAGACATCATTTCCCTGGACTGAGTCCCCTGGATGATGGAAACTTCACTGCCTCCCACCACTGAGCAAGTATGCTGTGGAGTCCAGACTCCGGGCCACTCTGACCCCTCAGGGGACTTTGGCCAAGGTCAAAGAAAGACCTTCATGGTATCCTGTGTTTGGCCTTCTCTCTGCCTAACAAGGCCAGCACCCAAAGGGTTAATATTTAACCTCTTTTTAAGGACATTTGGGTTCTATTTTTGGAAATGTTCTTTAGATGGCTGGCACATTCCTTTGGGTATGTTAACCTAGGCAGTGGGAGGCACGCGGGATGGGGTGTGAGTTGGGGGAAGGGCCGAATTGGCTAGAGCCTCATGGGGAAAGGGCCTTCCTCTTGTCCCCTAGATGCCCTCTCTTCACCAAACCTATGGTTCTGTTCCTTCCCCACATCCATTGTCTCTTCATGTCCATTCCGTTCTCTTTGGCCAGACAGGTGGAGAAGCTGAGACAGGCAGACATATGGACAAAGAACTCTATTTTGGGTTGCAGATTTTTTTGTACATAAACAAGAAAAACCAAAAGACTCCAAAGATGATTTCCCCTGCTTCCTATTTCCCAGTATGACTGAGGAGGAGATAAGGCCTTAGCCCTGATCCCCAGGGGTTTGGGAGCAGGGCCTGGCCTATTGCCTGGATCTCTATTTATATATTTAAGTTCACAATGTTTCATATGCTGACCAGCTTGGGGCATGAGCTTCGAGAGGCCCATGGCTCCATGGTTAGGTCTGGCTCATTCTGCACCTTTTCTGGGAGGTGGGAAGACCTCATGCTCTCCCCATTCTCCTTTTTTAGGTTCCTCCAGGGCCTAGTAACTATGTTGTAATTTTACTTTTTATTGTCAAAGTTGTAGCAAAGTTCTTACCCATAATAAAAGTTGTGAATGTGTGTGAGTGTTTCAGAGGGGGGCTGGGGAGGGGATTATGCACTTCCCTTTCCAGAGCCCTGGTTTGGGGGGAGGGGCCCATGTTCTGTTCCTCCTTGCAGGCCCTGGGCCCACTTTCATGTGGGAGGGGTGTCCCACTGAGGAGCTCCAGGGCCATTTGCTCTTCCTTCCTCTCCCTCATAGAGCGTTCAGCCCAATGTTGCAGGGCCCTCAAGTCCTTTACCCTTACCTGCGCAGATGTTGCAGCCAGAGCCCGAGGGCAAACTTGGTCCCAGAGCTGACCCTCTCTTTGCCTTCATCCGTGGTTGGGGTCGTTCGCAGCAGCGTGGACACGGGCATGGCCAGGGGTCGAGCTCCTCCGTCCTCCTCTAGTTCTGCCGTACTGCATGACGACAGCTCCTGTCTGGGCTGTGCCTTGTGGCTTAGCCCTCTTCCACAGAGCCCTCCCAGCCACGGCAGGAGAGTGATGGATGGACGATGCCCTCATTTTACAGAGAGGAACAGGTTCAAGGAGGGTTAAATAACTTGTCCCTTTGGGGGAGTGGGACTCGAACCCAGGTGGTCAGTGCTAGCCAGCTTAGAGCAGGAACCCTTGGAGTTGGATGGACAGTGTCCTTGCTCATGTGCCCCTTTCATCATCAGCTGACCAACCCACTCCCTAAATGTCCCCCATGACCCAAAACTCCCCCCTGGGGAGGGGAGAGAAGCAGAACTTCCCAATGACTATGTGTTGGTGTGTTGGAGGGTCAGGCAAAAGCTCTTACAGGATGGAGGGTGGTAGCTCCTGGGGGAGATGTCTGGGTGTCTCTGTCCCATCCTCTGTGGCAGCCACTGCAGCTGCTACATCTGGTCCCAGCCACATAAAGGCGCTCACCTCACTTGGGTTTGGTTGGATCCGGGCCTGGGCCAGATAGGTAGGTAGATCCCTGAGCCATGGCCTCTCTTAGGAGGCCTGTTCTTGACCGCAGCCTACCCACAGGTGGAATGGAGAGAGACTTGGGGCAAGGACAAGGGGAGAGGCTATTGGATTTCTTGGTTATCTCTGACTGCCCCCCACCCGCCACCCTAGTCACAGAACTAGTCTGCTTGGGTCTCAACCCGCATTTCCTTCCTACACTGCCAGCCCTACCTGCAGCTGCTGCTGTGATTCCCGGGAGACCACGAGTAGATAGAGAATGATGTGATGGTATTTGGGGAGACCCCAGCTCAGCCTAGGAGGGTAGGCAGACTAAGAGAGAATACAGCAAAGATGAGAACTTCCTATCTCTTGTCGAGACTTTGTAAACACAGCTGAGGAAGTGGAGGGTAGAGATGGTGCAGGAGGCACACAGGTGGGGATTGTGGGTTTGGGGACTCCAAACTCCCACCCACTGTCAATCGTTTCTCCTGCGGCCAAGACAGGTACGGCTGTTCTATAGGCTTTGGTGGGTTTGAAGTTGTTGAGGGCTTTTGGTTAAATAAGGAAGGGACCTTTTCCAGGTTCCTGTCTCACCTCCCATAATCCCAGAGGGACCCAAGAGAACTGGCCCTGGGGCAGCTGTAGTCCACTCTCCTCCCAAAGCTCTCGAAGCCCTCCGTCCAGCAGCTGGAAACGAGACAGCATTGGTCCCAGACATTTCTCTCAATAAGAGAAACATGTCCCAAGTCCTTTGTCCCTCCCTCAGCCCACACCCAAGGCAGCCCCAGACAGAGGTCTCTGGTTGGGTTAGCAGACTGGTTACCTCTTCATCAAGTTCCACGTGCCCACCTGCAACAACAGTGGGACCAAGCGATAAGTGGGGGTGTTCTTGGTCAGGAAACACTGTGCACTATTTATACTATGCCCTCCGGGGGAACAGATGCCATTGCAACTCCTTGTGAAAAGGGGACCTACCACGTTTCTGGGCCTGCCTCTCTGTCCTTCTGAGACTGGGAATACCACTGTTGGTGAAGGGCCCCTTTCCTCCCTGAACTTGGGATCTTGTTCTCAGGGCACTCACCTGGGGGTACCCAGAGGTTGGGAGAAACGCTGAGGGTGCGTGTCCTTCGGGTTAACAAGACAGTCTGGTCGCTGGACTGCAGCATGATGGCCACACCCAGGTCCACACCTCGATTCGTGGGCAGCTCAGCCCCCAGAGCCCTGAGCTGCTGCTGGTCCAGTGCCACAAAAGGGCAGAAAGGGGGTCGCTGGCGGGGGTGGGGGGGTAGCCATTTTGGGTTAAGGCTTCAGAAGCCGGGCAAAAATCGGGCGACGCCGCGCGGTGGGGTAGGAGGTCGAGTCTGGTCGATCCTTGCCCCCAGGCCTCTCGCGCCAGCTCCCACCCGACCCCACTCCTGCCCCCCGACCCCGGGTCCCCCTTCTCCGACCTGGAGTGGAAGCCTGGTCGAAGCGCCTGGGAATGGCCCGTCTGAGAGGACTAGTCGTCCTCGCTTCAAGCCGCAGTGAGTGGGCCACGGCCCGAGCCCTGGCCCGGCGCCCAGGAGGCGACACACACTCTGCACGAACCTCGGCGACACGGGGCGCCCGGCCAGGATCAGCAGCACCCGCGCGGCGGCCATGACGCGGCTCGGGGCCCGCGGCCCGCCTGGCGCCCTCTGCTGGCCCAGCGGCGCCGCCCCTCGGAGCGTTCGCCGGGGTCGGAGGGAAGGCGGGCTTCCGCGATCGGCCGTGGCAAATTTAGGCGGAACACTTGGGGATGAGCCGGAGGGGCAATGTTATAGTAAATGACAGAAGAAAACCTCGAAATCCTCAGCTCCTCTTTTTTCCTCTCTTCTCTGTTTAGGAGAGTGATTCAGACTGGATGATTTCTCAACTCACATGTCACCTTCCGCCAGCCACGGGCCGTGTACTATATAAGCACCCCTCTGCAGCACTCCACGCCTATCGGCTCTAGTAGGTATCACCTGGAATTGATTACGTCTCTTCGCCAGACACCCAGGAAACATTCTTGACCCCTCCCTTGTCTTTCTTCTCACTCAGATGGCAACTCAGTGCGGCAGATTCTACCTCCTTAAACTTTCTCGCATGTCTCTAGCCTCCACTGTTCCTAGTCCTAGCCTTCCTCATATTCTGCCTGAGATATCATTGCAAGTCTCCATATAGTCCTTCCCCTACCAGTTCATTCCCTAGGGTTCTTCCAGAGTGATCTTTCTCAAACACAAATCTCATCATCTTGCTTCCCACTGCTCAGGAGAAGATAAGCTACTAATAAGCAGAGTATAGTGAGGACGCCCGCCCACCCTTGCTCCTGCCGGCTGTCTAGCCGCAGTGCTGGCAGGACTTAAGCCCTATTTTCTAGTCACATCCTATTTGCAGTTCTTCCTGGAACCAGGCTCTGCTTCCTTCTGGGATCCCTTTCCCCTTGCACCTGGCAAATCCTCATCTTTCAAAAGACAGATTGTCACTTTCTCTGCACTCCCTTTCCTGCCTGACCCTTCTCCCTCTTGCCTCTCTGTATATAATACTTTTTTGCTACAGCCCCCAAGTATTTCCTTGTATTTATTTGTCTCCTCCCACTAGGCTATGTGTGCAAGGCTTATTCATCTTTGTATCCCTAAAGCCTAGCCCAGTCCTGGGCACATTAACAGATGCTCAGTAAAGAATGGTGAGTGGCTTGAAAGCAGAGATCGCAACTTACTTATCTTGATATATTATATCCAGTATAATGGCTAGCAATTAATTGGCACTTGATTGATGAATTAGATTAATTCATTACTCTTAATGATTTAGAGAGAATGGACATTGGCAAGAGGAAACCGAAGAGATTATAACAGCACCTACCTGCTTTAAATGAACTGAAGCTGCTGGGACAAATTACATCATGCCACTGAAAGAGAAAACTTAGAATTGCTGCTTTTAAGAAACCACGGAAAAGAGGAAGGCAATGATTTCTTGAGTGCTTACCATATGCCAGGCATTGTGCTAAGTGGCTTACATCCACAGTTTCAGATGTGCTAGAAGCCTGGAGCTGGCAAATGTCTTCTAGCCATAGATTCTAGTGTGAATGCTGGGGCCAGTCCACCTGCTAGTCCTGAAAATAGCTTTTATTCCCCTCTGTGTGGTTGTCTTTCACATTCCCTACACTGTGTGTGTGTGTTTGTGTGAGAGAGAGAGAGAGATTACAACTTAACAAAATAAAGAACAGGTATAGCCTTTTGAGAATACAATCTGCTTAGGAAGAAATTTCTTCCACTGACACGGATATTCAAACACAGGCCTGGCTGACTTCTTAGTGGGAAATGATACATCTGATAGATGATTAATCTGGTTGATTTAAGGTCCTTTCTTCCCCCACTGAGATCTGATGAGGGGAGAATACAGTGATGGGGATAAGACGGGATCAGCAAACCTTAAAAAACATGTCAGGGCACCTGGGTGGCTCAGTCGGTTAAGCGTCTGCCTTCAGCTCAGGTCATGATCCCAGGGTCCTGGGATCGAGCCCCACATCGGGCTCCCTG